GACAGGATTTTTTTATATTTTCACTCGTGCTTCGCACTCGTGAAAATATAAAAAAATCCTGTCCCACGAGTGAAATAAATTCCATATTCATCTACAAAACATTGAATATCCTCTATTTATCCTAATCAAAATTAGTATGAAAACAAAGACTAGCAATTGGTATAAAACATTTCAGTCAAAATACGACCCAAGGATAGGTGCAAACAAGGTCATTACAACGACCACATAATTTGCAAAATTGAGATTGTAGTGAGCCCTGTAAGCCAGTAACATAAACTTATTTTTCAGTAGACTACCTCGGTTCCAAACTGGATCGTATCAAGAGCATGCTCTCAAACACAGAATCAGTTGGGAGATAATCACTATATGCAGGTGATAGTAGAATACTACTGCATAAATAGGGGAAGTTGACAATAGAAAAGTTTAAAATATCATATAGGTATCATATCTGTTATTAGTTTGCCATGAACGTCTATAGTCAGTGCATCCAAATATGAAACAGAGGGGACGATTCTGTGGTGTCTTTTATTCTGATTTCACTGGGATATATCGATTCGACATGTAAAGTAACTATCATTCCTCGGTAAAACGTCGTTGATATATCAAAATGTAGAATTGAAGGCATTTTGCAAGAATTTTCTTCTTTAAGTTTTTGAATAAATTCTGCTTCATAAGAATTTCTTTTAAAAAAGATCGGCAAACAGTAGAACCCAGTTAGTGCCCATAGTCCCAACCAAATTTCATCAGACTGTTGGAACTGAACCCGAGGCCATAAAACTTCGAAGAGCTCACTTTTGATCTGTCTCACTTTTCTACAATAGATTCCTTTTGAGTAAGTGGGGCTGAGATCAAGAAATGAGCTCATCTTATCTTTATGGCCCCAGAGCCTGGTTTTCAAAGACTACAAAGGGGAACTTCTTCATCTTTTTAATATCATGTTCAGAGTTCTTGTTTGTAGGATCAGAATGATTTTTAACAAGCGTAAAAGGTGAAGATAACGAAACGAGGTCAATCTCATCAATCCAGTAAACAAAACAAATCGTGAACAGGGCGAAAACACGGACCCCTGGAAACACCACAGAAGGGATCAGGTGCCTAGAAGCAGCGCTTGCTTTTGTATATCAACTCAGTTGGAAGACATAAATACCATATGCAAGTGATGCTGGAATACTGCTACATAAAAAAGGGAAGTTGACGATGGAAAAGCTGAAGTCTTTCCGTTTGCAATACAGTTTAGTTATTAGTTGGCCATTATCGTCTATAGTCAGTAAAACATCCAAATATGAAATAGAGGAGGCAGACTCTGTCTTTTATTTGAGTTCGATGGGTTATATCAAATCGACATATGATCGAAAGCAACTATATGTATTGTTAATTGATAAAATGTCATCGATATATCTAAAAGTTGAGTTGTAGGCCCCAGCAAGAGTTGTTTCTTCTCTTGAAGAAGCTTTTAAATAAATTCTCTTCACAAGAATTTAATAACAGGTCGTTGGAAGACCTGGTCTCCAAAGACTACATGTACATAGATATTGTCAATGAGGAACCCCAGCATATTTTTAATATTAACTTCAGAGTACTATTATTGAATCTTTTTTTTTATCACAAGATTTGAAAATTTGAATCCAAATTTTCTTAAAGTTGAGAATCTACATTTTATTTACACAACTTCTTGAATAAGCTATAGCACTACTTTTGATATTCTCCTTCACAGTAGCTGCAGAACGGTAGCTCTCTGGTTCAGAAAATTCGTCAGACAAACTAGAGAGCTACAGATCCATGCATTGTAAAACATTTCAATTTCCGGCGCCTTTTTGTTCTTTTTTTTTTTTTTTTTTTTTTTGCAGGTTGGGTATTATTTCTTGTATTATATACGCTCAAAGCATGGTATCTGTTAATTGACCATATGTTTTACTCTTATTCTTGTTACTTTTTACCTTTAACGGTTCCAAACAGCCCTAAGTGGACTTAAAATGTCAGTTTACAATTTGACTACAGAATATTCCGTCTACCTGATCGATGTATAAGGCTCACAGTGGGTGTAACTGCCCTGTCGACGTTTTATGCCCTGTTCACAGATTTGTATTGCTTGCATTGTTTTTTAGATCGATCTTTACCTTTTTTCACCATATAATATTGAAAGTATTTGAAACTGAAACGTGATTTTGAAGAATTTCATTCTTTGAAAGGGAACAATGAGAATAGGCTGGATTTCCAGATGTACATTGAATATAGTATTTGTTCATGATTATAGAATTTTTGAAATAAAAATGTAACACCGGGGAAACACCAGGTTCTTGCTGTATAGTTAACCTCATTTGTTTCAAGTAAAAATTTCCTATAATTTCTAGATGCTTTATATAAAGAAACAGAACATAAAGGCTATTTTGGTGCTTACATTGGCTTTTAGGTCTTAGAAGTTATCGGAAGTGTCTCGACGTCCAGCAAAAAGGAATTGTTTAAACACTGAATAAATAAAGAATGAATATTTGTTCAAAGAGAGCTAAGTGGTACAACACAGTCCGACAGTGCAGGAGAATTAGGAAATGCAAATGGATCTGTTTTAAGTTTATTTCCAGAGAACTATCCCACTGATTTGGTTTTAAAAATTGCTCTTGATAGGGCTCTTCTGCAAAAAGTGAGCCCAAAACCTGTGTTCATTCAAGACCATATTTAACAATATGTTCAATAAAATCAATAAATCCTCTGATAGATTCTGAACACTGGCAGAAAAAGTTCAGTGGTAACTAATCTTGGCTGACATTTGAGGCAATAATTCTAGAAATACAATTAAGATACACATGCATTACAAAGGATGTGGAACAAAGTGAATCCACCTCATATGTGTGTATATTTTGAAACAAATTTCAAACGTATCACATAGAATACCACGGTATTACGATTCTGCTTAACAACTGAGAAAATCATCAAGTGTGGATTCACAATTTTTTGACATAGGGAATTCTTTCCTAAATAATTGCTCAACGTCCAACAAAATGCAACCAACAACTTGAAAATTATGAATACCCTTCGACATGACACGTTTTTGTTGGTAGATGCACTTTATTAAATAAAAGTGAAGCCCTTTTACCTATAATCACAACAAAGCGATTGTTCCAGCAGACTTTTCCCCTACCAAGAGATATACCTCTTCCTACCTTTTACTCATTGTGTTTGGGTTAAATATGACAATAATATGTTTTAAAAAATAAACCTCTCTAGAAAATTTACCTTTACTTTGAAATGCATACAATATTATGTATTCAAGAAGCGTACGGGTAAATAAAGATTTTATATTAATATGTATTTTATATAAAAGATCCCAAGCTTTTGAAAGTTCACAAGCTAACATTACTCTTGTCTTTCGGATTCTGTGCATGAACAGGAAACGCTTTCAACGTGCAGGATTTTAACAAGAACACACTATATGAAATTCTGTAATCCCCCTTTAAATGTTGCACATTTTCAAAAACAAGAGTCCAAGAAGAGGGAAAGGAGATGGGTGAACATGACGAGCGATAAGCCTACAGTGTGACAAACATGAAGATGAAAAATTAAATTTCTATTATATCAAAGAAGATGGGTGAACAAGGCGTGCAGAATGCCTATAGCTTCAGATATTAATAAAATCATATTCAATTTGTGAATTAAGTATTTAAAATAAAGTTCTCATTATTGAAATTTATGAAATTATGATTAACAAAACTTTTCTGAGAAAAAAGATCTCGGAAAAAATTATTCTTTTATTAAAAAAATAAAATGGTATTCGTGGGATTCGAACCCCTAATCAATAAAAATCCGGATTATCATATTGTTTTGAGACTAACACGCTAACCACTACGCCACGCAGCTTCTGACGAATAGTGGCATTTAAATCATGTTTGTGATATGACCCTTGACTTAATGGACTTCAAGTATTTCTCGGAAAGATGCGAATGCTTTGTCATAAAAGTGTACTTTTAAGGTACAGTGGGTCTTTGCTCCATGTTTTTGTAAACCAAAAAATGTATATTTTTATGCAAACTTTTAGGATCAACTTTCAAAAAAATGGAGCGAAGACCCACTCATAACGAAAAATTTTGTTAAAGTGTGAGAAAATGATCCTTTTTGTCCTCTTTAGTGTGTGTATGCTATTTCGTAGGCAAATAATTTCAGTCTTTGTGAGATTTTTGTAAATTGTAGAGATTTAGCATAAAATATACTTTAATGTTAGATGAAATATCAAAGAAAATTTTTATATAATTGAGATTTTATTTTTCACTTCATGTTTGTCGCGCTATAGGCACTTCGCCCGCCTTGTTCACCCATCTTCTTTTCCTTGATATTTCGTCTAACATTAAAATATACTTTATGTAAAATCTCTACAATTTGCAAAAATCCCTCAAAGTTTGAAATTATTTGCCTGTGAAATATTAGACACACACTAAAGCGGGCAAAAAGAGTCATTTTTGGATACTATAACACTGTTTTTCGATATGAGTGGGTCTTCGCTCCACCTTTTTGAAAGTTAATCCTCAAAGTTTGCATAAAAATATACATTTTTTGCTTACCAAAAATATGGAGCAAAGACCCACTATACCTTAAAAATATAATTTTATGACATAACATTCGCATCTTTTCGAGAAATACTTGAAGTCCATCAAGTCAAGGGTCATATCACAAACATGATTTAAATGCCACTGTTCGTCAGGACTTGTGTAGTCTAGTGGTTAGCGTGCTAGTCTCGAAAGAAAATGATTCTCAGGATTTTTATTGCTAGGGTTCGAACCCCACGAATACCACATTAATTTTTTTAATAAAATAAATTTTGCCGAGAAATTTTTCCTCAGAAAAGTTTTGTTTATCACAGTTACATAAATTTCAATAATGAGAACTTTACTCTAAATATTAAATTCACAAACTGAACATGATTTTTATATTTCTGAAGCTATAGGCTTTCTGCACGCTATGTTTGCCCATCTCCTTAAGTTTTCCCATCAAAACATGAAAAAGTAAACACACATAGTTTATTATTTATTTAAAATACATCATAATAAGCATTGGTACATCAACATTAACAAAGCAGAACATTTAACAGGTATTAAGTTCTAAGAGAAATGTCCAAGAGACAAAACAATAAATGCATTCAATAAAGATTTAATTACGGTATCTTTGGTTAAAATTATGCAAATGTATTAATTATTACTTTGGAATAAAAGGTTCCTGATACCAAGAGATGGAGTACAGAACACAATGGCAAGAACAGTCTAGTTACTTCCTCATGTCACTTTATTTCACCAACTGTAACAAAACTTTCCTGTAGTCCCCGGATGTGTCGTCCTATAAAAGAACAAAATACATGAAAACAAACTATAGCATACTATATGTATTTCCTACCTGAGTAGTACACAGGTTCATGCTATTGATAAGCATCCTGTTCGAGTCCACCACGTAAGGAGCTTCAGTTTTCTTTCTAGGTGAATTTAAGCCTTAAATACATGTACTTGTTAACTCAGATATTTTAAGGGAGTTCGGTCTACAATTTTGATGTTTTAACTTAGTGGATAAACAAAAAGAACATACTTTGATGAAGTCCGAGAGCGACTTTTTATACAGCTTATGAAATTCTTGTTTGATTTGTTCCATGTCAACTTCTGACCTCGAAATAACTACTCTAATCAGCGTCCTATCGTCTGTTCCGGCACCCTGTAGGGAAAATAAAAGATGTCACACCAAACAACTACGCTTTTAGAGACTTCATTTTACTGTACGATTACAGTATACAGGGAAATTTTCGCCCCCGTTTTATGTTCGCCCCTTTCATCCTTGTCTCTAGTTGGCGAATTCAATAAAGGCAGAGTTATCTTTTTTGAAACTGTGTTTCGGCGAATTTGAAAGGGGGCGATATTGATTATTTAAGAAATAAACAACAATGTTAAAAAGTTCTCTGGGAAATGAACTTGGTTGGTCACGTGATCAAATCCTGTGAAGCCCGAAGGGCTTCTCAGAAGATTTGATCACGTACCAACCAAGTTCATTTCCCAGTGAATTTTTTAACATTGTTGTTTATTACTTTTATTTACATTTGAGACGAAAATTCTGAAAAGAACTGCATTCATTACACGAACGGCCCGCCGTATTGCTATGTTGTGACGCGCAATGACCTAGAAGCTGTTTGGTCGTGAGAGTTCGCCTCGCTCCAACATTTGAATACTTACATTGATGTTCAGCAGTCCAGTTCAGGAAATATCTGTTCATAATGAAAGAACTATGATCGCTACTGAGAAAAATCTTACTTTTATTGTATGAGTTCTTAAAATATGAAGTCAAAAGCGGTGGTATCGTCTTCAGTTTCTTTCGGGTTATAAAGGTAAGCGTGATTTTAGGCTAATCTACACATTCTTCACACCGAAGAAAGAGCTAATGATCATTTGTTGAACGAAAAAAAAAAACATATATGTTTCAATAATTTTATCTTTTTCATCGCTTTAACGGCTTAGAAGTTCCGAAACCAGTGTCACCGTGACAGAAATATGTAGACAAGATATCATCTCGCTGGGTGATTCGGTCACGCCATGACCTCTGACCCCCTAATAAGTTCATACAGAATTGAACATATTTTCTCTTCAATAGGTTCATCTAAGAAAAATATTTGCAAATGTAAATAAAGGTGTAATAGGACAAAAATAACCCAGCATACAATATTATCTATTAATCAAAACATCCATTTTCTTATTGATAAGGTCGATATCTAATAACTCTTACTTTCATAGAACGATATAATCTGTCAGCAAAGTAACCCGGCGTATTTCTTATAACTCGAACTGAAAAAAATATATATTAAACATCTTTTTAAAAAGCCACCTTCTTATATTCAAATTCAACAGTTTTCTAACAATCTAAGCGTTGTTACCTATGGCAAGCATTCCGGTTTCTAGGTTACAAGACATCTCGCTCTTGATGCTTTGTTCGATGTCTTTTCCACTTATAGCCTTGTATTTCTCAAACACTGCCCTCAGTTGGGGGAAGCTTTGGGAGACCAGTAGGGAGTTGAACACCGACTCGTCCGTCCCGAGCTTCTTCTCCCCTGCTTCATGCAGTCTCTGCAAAGAAAATACAAAAATCCAGGAACAGATATTCCTTGCCAAACCAGTGTCTTTTTATATGTTACAAATAAACTTTATATGCAGTTAATTTCAAAAAAGTAAAAATTCAACAAAATTTCTCATTTTGATCTGTAGTATTCGTGTTAAACTAGTTTTACTTCAATTTGAAAATTAGATCGTTTCTGTTAATTAGAGTCAATGTAAACAGTAAATGTAACATAAGGTTAATTACAATGCTTGAAAACATACCCTAAAATAACAATAAAATCTCTATGCTCAAACAAAAGTTATACTCGTATATACTCTAAAACGACACAAATTTCCATCCTTCCAATACAAACATTAGTTCACCTTAGCATCTTGTTCTGCCTTGTTCAAGTCAACAGGTTGATCTTCCATTCGCCCCGCCTTAAATCAATATGAAAGACAGTGAAAGTAAGTTTTCTTCCTGCTGTTAAATTTAGTAAAAACATGAAAATGATAAATGACACTTTATTTCAAAGGATCAAACTTTGAAATTAGCTTCCGTAAATAGGGTAAAATTTACTAAATGTTTCAGCAATCCCCCATAGTTTTAATGCTCCAATGAATCTTGAAGCTTACGATTGAATCTACTGTTTTCTACTCACATTGATCAGAAAGAACTTAAGTCTCGATACTAACAAATAATATAGAACTGTTTTAGTACTCATCTGGTCACAGAGACCATTAAGTCTCGAGAACTTACAATGTAGAACTCTTTTCGTACACATCTGGTCAGAGACTCCACTCGTCGATATAAATAACTGTTTTAGACTAACACTGGCCAGAGAGATGATAAGTCGGTATATCGGTATAGAACTATTTTCAGATTCTTGCAGGCCAGAAAGATAATAAGTCTCTTGAAATGACCTAAAAATCCTACCAATAAACATTACAGAAATGTATTCGTACTCATACAGGCCAGGGAGACTATGATAAGTCGATATATTAAACTGTTTTCGTACTCACGCTGGCCAAGGTGACCATAAGTCTATCTAAAAAAAACTGTTTTCAGACTCGCACAGGCCAGAGAGAGAGATCATAAGTTAATAACCAAAACTGCTTTCGTACTCAAATTGGCCAATTAGACCATAAGTCCCGATTCTTAAAATATTGAGACATCGGTCAGAAAGACCACAAGTCTCAAGACCAACAATATAGAACTGTATGTTTTTGAACTGATCTTGTCAGAGAGATCATAAATACCGATGCAAATAATACAGAATTGCTTTCGTACTCACCAGGCCAGAGAGACCATAAGTCGATAAGAAGAACTATTTTCAGACTCACACTGGCCAGAGAGACCACAGGTCAATATAAAGAACTATTTTCAGACTCACACTAGCCAGAAAGACCACAGGTCAATATAAAGAACTATTTTCAGACTCACACTAGCCAGAAAGACCACAGGTCAATATAAAGAACTATTTTCAGACTCACAATGGCTAGAGAGACCACAAGTCGACATATAGAACAGTTCTCGTACTCACAGTGGAGAGAGCGATAAAAAGAACTGTTTTCGGACGCCAGAGAGAGAAGAAGTTTTTTGAAATGATCCAATGATCCTACAAATATTAACATTATAGAACTTTTTTTCGTACTCACACTGGCCAGGGAGACCATTAGTCTTTTAAAATGGCCGGAAGTGTCACCCTCTATGTCCTTCTCAAGGGTGTTCTTGAACACTAAATTATGAAAGAATTATTGTTTTGATTTAATACATAAACAAAGTTAAAGACATCTTCTTTCTCAGCGATTGCTTAAACGTGACACACAGGCATGCATTCTTGTCACACAGAAGGAAAGGAAGCCTTGTACAGAAAACTGCTGTTGCTACAATACTGTAAGTATAATACGTCCTTAAGTGCTCAAGGGTATGTCAAAATAAACAAATCTTTGTGCGTTTGAGGAGAGATGTGTTCACTTATACAATCCAATACTCTGCTTTTAGAAAAGAGATGTTACAGTAAGGTGGCCAAAAAGCAAGTGTTCTGTAGAAAACCTTCTTATTTCAAAAAGATTTATGAGTGAAAAATGCATTGAAAAATAAAGGTTGAACCAAAATCTACATTGATCCAAGTATGAGTAGAAACAGATAGTATTACATTTTTTGTAGGTTTCATTAATAGCTCTGATCTGGGCGTTATTCCGACTGGCCAGGATTTCAATCATCGCATCCTCATCAGTCCCCACGCCCTGTGGAAAGAGAACGTATCAAGAGTTTTAAAAATGATAAAAGACTGAAGGAAAAGTCTTATCTCTTCTTACCTATATTCCCAAACACAAATTTAATGACGATAAATCTCTACAAGATTTTTTTTTTCAATTTGCAACTTTTGATGAATCATCCTTATTTACTCTCTAACACAAGTCATCACTTCAAGCTACATCAAGGTACTCTAATATAAACTATACTAATACAATAGCAAGATCGAGATAAGGTTTGTTACAGATAAGGAGATTTTGCAGGTAAACTGTTACATATATTTAACGTCTTTCGCATATTATCGACAATAAGATTTCAAAATAAAGAAAACTCGGATGACAAGAAGAACCTTCATGGCTCTTTTGAGCTCTGACGCGTCATACTCCACTGGCGTCATCATCAGACCCACTATGACGTCTTCAAATTTTCCGCTCAACTCGCTCTTCAGCTCCTTCACAAGATCCTGAATCAAAACAAAAAAGTTTTAAACAGGGGGATGTTTGTAGGAAGTTTTTGGCCAATATTATATAAATACTATATGTAGTTGAGGGTAACATTGAAAATTTTCACCCCGAGAAAACCAATTTCAACCGAGGCGTAGTCGAGGTTGACAATGGTTTTCGAGAGGTGAAAATTTTCAATGTTACCTCAACTACATGCTTCATTTATTATATTATACTGAATGTTTTATACAGATACATGTAACACTGAACCGTGCGCGCATAAATTCTGCGCAGTCAATATTTTTGGAATATCACCCGTCGTCAAGCAATGTTGACTGTTGCTATGCTAGAGGGCGTGGTTTCATCATTCAGAGGGTAATAGTGTTTTTTAGCAAACGTTTCTCGACGAATCAGATTCACTAATTTACATGAAAGTATAATATTACTAAATAACATGTTTGTGACAATGAACTATTGAATATGCCAATACTTGTTAGATGAGGACGAATTTTAGGTAACATTTGCATTCCTTATTTTCTTCTGCTAAGGCCTTTTCTTGGAACGTTAAAAAACCTAGTTCCCTGAACTCCTCTGACATTTTTCGCAGTACTCCATTCATAATTTGGAATATGACTAGGAGTGTCCTCTAGATGTGTAATAAGGTTTCAGAATTTCCACACTACAGCTTTATATAAACATCTTTTTTCTGAGAAAAAAAAATATCAAATTACGTAAAATTTGGAGTTGACCCCTTTCTAGTGCATTACATTTAATTTTGTAAAGCTATAAATCGAAACCAAGCTTCACAAAATTACTAGTTTCTTAAAATAATATCTAGTAGCATGGTACTCAAGCGGATCTAGAGGGGGTAGGACGGGGGGCGTTCCCCTTCCCCAGGATTTTCAGTTATTTAAATTCTTTGTTAAAAAAACATACAAAAAACAAAACAAAACAAAAAAACTTTGACCCCCTTAGGAAGCTTGCTTGGACTCCTTTGAAAATTGTTATATGATTGTCTGATTGTCACGTATTGGAAGAAATTACAGTTAGAAAACTGTCTTCTTGCACGTGCAAGTGATTTGGTGTTTTTTTTTTCCATGTAGCTTGTCAAAAATTTCCGAGTCTGAAATCTGTAAAAGTTTACCTTCCCTCCTCGAAAAAAAAAATCCTGGATCCGCGTCTGTAACTTAGTGATACGCACATACAAGTGCTTTCTATTTAGAAGACAACAATACACTAGTTGGATTTTTAACAATACTAAGATTTTTTATGCTTCCGCTTAGAAATAATTTTAACGATCATAGTTCCACGGGTGCAGAATGATTCTATCTAATATTCTTCTTGATAAGGTAACAATTATAGTTAACAAAATCGATGTACAGATAGCATATAAAAGACAGAGTGATTGCTCTTTTCTCCGCTAAAAGTGTTTTGAAATCGCATAATTTTTGATATATTTTATAAATGATTGAAAATAATACTATGATTTTTTTGGCTGAATGAAATGCATAAGCAGAGAAAGTTAGTAGTAATAAGTTCAGCTACCTTTAATAAATGAATACATCGGAGTGATTTGATACAGTAAACAGCTAAATATTTTGTTGCCTATATTAAGTGTCAGTATGTGTACCTTGCCGAACATGGTTTTAAACATGGCCTTGATTTCCTGTCTTTGTGCATTACTACGAGTCGTCAATATATCAATAATGCTCTTCTCGTCCGTCCCTTCAAAATAAAACCATGGTGTAGTATGGGGGTTAAATGGTCAATCTTAACTGGATTTTGAGGATTCTTTACGATAAGACAGCAAATTTCCTCGAATTTGAAAACAAAGTTTATCTTAGAAACACGTTTAAAAATAGAAAAAAAGATCTGTCTTATCTGACAGGCGTGTCGGGCATTTAATTAATTCACTTCGTATATTCATCTGTCGCATGTTCTCATTTATATACACACACTTTTTTTCCCTCTCTCTCTGTAGTTAACCTTGAACACTGGGGCGTATACTAAGTAAATATTTTGCATGGCTAATATTAGACATACTCAATGTTTATTTGTTATTTATCAAGAGATCCCTTCATATGAATTGTTCTTAAGATAAAGCTACTTACCAAGTCCTTTCATGGCCTTTCGGAGTGCATTGGCGTCATTTTCCGCGTTAAAGTTGGCGGCTGGCTTCACTGTTCCCTGTGTGAAAATAATGGAATTTAAAAAACAACATATGACATGTAAACATGCTTTACTTATATACAGATATATGTGTTAGTAACGATGGATCATGTACTTCAGGAATGTACAGTAAAGTACAGTAACGTCTGAATGACTTACCTCCATCTTCTTCTGACTGTTTAGGTACTAGTGTGAGTACTTCTCACTATGACGGCTTATAACTACCGGCGACTCCTCTTCTTCCGCTAATACACATGGGAGATTTAATCCAGCTTATCGATTGAGAATACACGCGATTTCCTCATACCTAGCGAGCATTGCACAGGTCTGCTCTAAAGTTTTATCTTCCTATTTCGAAACATTTTATTTTATGCCAATGAAAACAAAAAAAGGCACCTGAGTCAGTGTAATAGCATCAAATTTCATAATTGTGCATGGAAATGTGAAATTAAAATGTACATTGTATACATTCAGTGACGCTAATACTAAGCTTAAATATACAAACGTCACACACTGATGAATTTATAATTTATTTATACGCAAAAATATTTTTACCTGTTTATCAATAAATTTGCAAACAATTTTCTTTAGGGTTTGTATTACTCAGTATGAGTTTGACTATGCAAAAGATGTCGTGAATTATAGCAAATACGTTAAATCCACTCCCCAACTAAAGATACACTGATCAAAAAGGAATTCCCTTCATCAGGTCATTCTTGAACCTTTTGTTCAAACACACGTGACAATTAAAATTATTTCGCCATTCCTACCTGAGAGCCAAATGGCATCAAATCTAGAATGACCTTGACTATTGAATTGTAAAATTGTAGATATCAATATTATTTTTTTACACCATATACATGCACTAATTATATGCATATATTTGTATGTTTATTATTTATCATATTTCATAATTATCTGTGAAGTAACTAATTTAAAATTAACTAATTTAAAAAATTAACTAATTTATGCAAAATGGCGACCTTCACCTTTTACCTTCATTGTTTCCAATGATTTTTTTTTCTGAATCTCAATCTTTTACAAGGATGGAATAACAAGAATTAAGTATAGATGTTTCTTTCAATGTTATAGTTAGTGCCTTATATTTTTCTGGTCATTATCATGATTATGGTGCGACATTGGGTTCATTACCTTACCGCTACATTTTCAAAATTGTTATTACCTCTACATGCTCATCACCGCTACAAAATAGTATACATTACCGCTACATTTACAAGTATACATTACCGCTACATTTATAAGTATACATTACTGCTACAATGCCTCTTCCGTTAGCCAGAGCCTTATGCATGTACAGGTATTTAGTACATGTACATGCAGGTCTGTTTTGCAGCGAGTTTTGACGATTTTTTTTCTGCACGTCTACCCAGCTTAAAATCTTAACAGATTTTTTTCCTTGAAGCTTAATGAAGACAGTCCGAACTTTTACTAGGAAAGAATAACAAAAATTAAGTAGCTGATATTTCTTTCAATGCGGCTCACTGTATTGTATTTTGAAGGTTTGCTATGATGATGTGAAGTTATCTAGTCTGCCTATACATTATGTTGCGACATTAACTGAAGTAGTTTTAACGGTTGTTTCCCATCAGGCACGCAACATAATTTTGAAAGTAGTTGAAAAACGTTTATCAATTAAAGTTCAACGTTGTTTAAACATCGACGTTCCCAAATGGACTGAAGGTTGATGATGCTTTGTTTGACCAAATGTTGGATATTCAGTAGAGATAGGTCTTTTCTACGTTACTACGTTACACGTTTCAATGTTGATTCAAAAATATTGTGGAGAATGGACATGTATTTATCATGGGTGCTAAGCATTATTTGTACACATGGGAAAGTAAGCGGGTTTGTTTAGGTATGGGTGATTGATTTTTACAATGATTGGCTATTTATATAGTAACAAGTACGCATGAGTAGAGATGTTATTTAAGGGCGAGTATTGTGTAAACAGGCCCAGATTCCAAACCATTTCCAAGTTTTGGCGTTATCCCCATCCACTCATTATTACAATTTAAAATTTGTATTAATTGATTTGTTTAATGTATTGATGTTTACAATTTGTTTTTATAGTTTGATGAATGTATATGGATGGAAGTTCATGAGGGTACATGAGGATTGATAATGATCGGGCATGACGAGTTTTAAGTTGAGATTCAGAGAAAGCAGAGTGTTTATGTATCATTATGTGTGAATAAATCTGAGCGCTTCGCCTCCTATCCTATAAATAATGCGTTGTTTTATATGGTAAATGATTTATGTTCGTTTGAGTGAAACGAATTCAGAACATAAATTACTTGTAAATGTTAATAAATCAAGGTTATCATTTCTGGCAAAGATAGACAATCATCGAACAATGCATTCTCGTACACTAATAAAGAAATTGATGTGACAAGTGGTGAAAAATTAAGTCTCAATCGGGACTCCAACCCAGGGTCTTTGGCGTATCGTGCCAGCTCGATCTTTAATTACTAAAGTAAAGCTATTGAGACCCTATATATAGTGACTGACTTTCACAAACCTTTTAACCCGGTGATATTGAAACTAGCTGTTCTTTTTATAGTACCAGAAAACAAGAGGCCCATGGGCCACAACGCTCACCTGAGTATCTTTGGCCCTGCGGTTTTCACCAGACTTTGCCCTCTTGTAATACCTTTTGTGGCCCCACCCGAACCTCAGGGTCATGATTTGAACAATTTAAAAACTACACTACCCAAGGATACATAAGTTTCAGCATTTCTAGCCCATTGGTTCTTGAGAAGATTTTAAAAGATTTTTCCTAATGTATTTCAATGTAAAACTTGGATTCCCTATTGCGGCCCCGCCCTATCCCGGGGGTCATGATTTTAACAATTTAGAATCTACACTACCCCCAAGATGCTTCCATATAAGTTTCAGCTTTTCTGGCCCAGTGGTTCTTGAGAAGAAGATTTTAAAAGTTTTTTTCTAAATATTTCAATGTAAATCTTGGATTCCCTATTGTGGCCCCGCCCTACCCCCGGGGGTCATGATTTTTATAATTTAGAATCCACACTTCCCCAAGATACTTCTACATAAGTTTCAGCTTTTCTGGCCAAGTGGTTCTTGGGAAGAAGATTTTAATGGTCCCACCCTGCTTTTGTCTTTTCTTGATTATCTCCCCTTGTAAGGGGGTTTGTCCCTTCATTTTAACAATTTAAACTCCCCTTTACTCAAGAATGCTTTGTACAAATTTTGGTTAAAATTGGCCCAGTGGTTTTTGAGAAGACGTTGAAAATGCGAAAAGTTTACAGATGGACGGACGGACAACGGACAATGAGTGATCAGAAAAGCTCACTTGAGCTTTCAGCTCAGGTGAGCTAAAAAATGTTAACGTTGTGCAAAGACCAACCAAATATGTGCATCCAAAGCACCGAATTTATCTATTGATTTGTCAACTTGATATGTTTAATAAATTTGTTATCAGGGAATTTGGATTGGGGGCATGATTTTTTTTCAGGGGCAGGGGGTCTGGGGCCGCCTAAGACTCCCAGTGGGTCCAGGGCAAAACCTGATGGGGGCTCAGGGGCAAAGCTCCTGGGTTTAGTAATTGTAAAGTAAAATTTAACCTTACAATTAGCCATCATCGGTATATTTACACCCTTTCTACAAGCACAAACACAATAATCAAATTAAGCAAAATTCCTCATCAGAGAATTTCCTTCTAGTCAATCTTATATATCTCAAACTTAGGTTACCCCCTGTATATCATTTCATCATATCACACACACCCTCTTTCATCATGCCCCCCCCCCCCCTCTTCATCGTGTGTCATAACACCTTTTGACACAATGCATGTCTTCTCATTTTGTAGTAATCAATAGATTTGCAAATACTTTTAGGAAATATTAGGAAAAAAGGAAAAAAAAAACTATATCTGAGTTAGAATGACTTTACCGTGCAAATGACGAAAATTAGGAAAATAACACAGTCATATCAATTATTTTTTGGATCTATAATTTCATAAAACTGTAAAAGAGGATGGGCGAACAGGCCGAGCGAAATGCCTATAGTGCGACAAATAGAAAGGTGAACATTTAAATCTCAATTATAATAAAGTTTAATTAAGTTTACTTTATATTAAATCTCCTCAATTTGCAAAAAAAATCACAAAGATTGAAACTGCATACACACACGCAAAAAGAATCATTTCTCATATTATAACGCAATTTTTCCATATGAGTGGGTCTTTGTTCCATTTTCTGAAAGTTTATCCTAAAGTTTGCGTAAAAATATACATTTTTGGTGAACAAAAAACATGGACCAAAGACAAACTAATTAAAATATACTTTTATGACACAGCATTCGTATATTGCCAAGAGATAGTTGAGTCCATTTAGTCAAGGGGCCATACCTAAATACCATGCTTTGTCAGGAGTTGCGTAGCGTAGTGGGTAGCGTGTTAGTCTCAAAGAAAAAGGATACTCTAGTTTTTTGTGTCACCTGCAGAGCAGAGTGACACTTAGGGATCACTTTACCCGGCCTCTGTCAGTTTGTCATACCCTATATATTGAGAACTATAAAAGGGGTGTGTTCCCGTTTTGCACACATTTGATAATTAGGTATAGAAAAATAGGTGTGAAATATGTTTTGATACATTCAAACTTAACCGCTTTCTGATAAACATGTTTACAATAAGCTGCACAATTCGACGGGAAAAAAAACAGATGGCAGATCTTAAGGCAAAACATGCAATATGAACTTGTTTTCCTAAAACGGACTATCTCGGAGTATTTTATGCCAAAAATTCTTAAAACATTTTACTACTGATGTTGTCACCTTTTTTCCCAAGAAATTCTTCAAATTGCCTTCATCAGCAACGGAAGAGAAAGTGCATGAAATACTAGAGTACTGTAGATGATTAAAGAAATCATTTCTCCGGTGATTTTGATTGCTTGAAAGTAAAATCCATGTAATGCTGCTTTTGCCAAATGTTTGTGTTTTATATATTTCTGTCATTTTTCAACGGATGTTAATATCTTGACATTTTTTTCCCTCTATATGTGTACACATGTAACGTAATTTTGGAAATTTTTAGTAGCGTGCCCCTCTAAATCTACCAAAGGTTATGGTTTGTTTAGAGAATTCGAACATTATTGAGAAATCCCAGCTCAAATCTTGTAAACCTGTACAAGGCTGTACTTCATCTTAATTCATCTACACCGAATGATTACCGGTATGCCTCATGGTGAACTTGGTAGACACAACGTATCTGTTGTGTGTAAATATAAAAATGTGAATTAAAGTTTGGGTAAGATTGCTGAAATGTACAGACAAAATTATCTCATATTTTGTATAATTTTATACATAGTTAAATGCACAACAGTGTGGAAAGGATTCTACAAAAATTTGGTTAAAATCTGGAGAATGAAAAAAGTTGTTGTTGAATGTAATGAAGCAATCACTTATTGATCAATTTTCGCAGAAATGGGCCTCAGATTGTGCTACATCAAATTAAAGTATGTATTAAATCATAGCCCCGGGGATAAGAAGGGGCCCCAATGAGGGATCTTTGTTTTTTATGGGAATACAGTAGGGGGCATAATAGGGGATCTAAATTTTACATATAAATATTTAGGAAAAAATTAAAATCTTCATTTCATGAATAGCAGGCATATGTTTGCTCATATTATTCTCAGGAAGTTCAGTTCAAGAGATCTGAATGAAGTTTCTCAAAGGGGGGAGGGGGATAAACATTTTGCATAAGAGTAAAGAAGTTAATTGTTTCATGTTTTATTCTCAAGAACCAACAAGGCACAATTAGTCATATGAATTTGCAAGTAATATTATGAATATAGTGGGGAAAAAATTTAAGAATCTTCCCAAGAACCAGAAGTCTCTGATGAGGCTGTAACTCTACTGGTTTGTAGAAAAATAACACTTGGACTTAACTATGCATCACAGAAATATGAATAATACTCACTGGTTTAGTCTCTTTTTGTGGCAAGATTTATTGCAGTCAGATTAAACTGCAGGAATAACATTTTAAAAGAATTTTAAACAAATTTCTATTTTTAGTAACCATGGCAACACCATTCATCAAAATGAAAAAAAAATGATAGAGGATCATGTACCTCAGGTGGTCTACTTGTGTGCCAAGTTACACTAAAATTAGACCAAAACTGTAGGAGTAGTAGTGTTTTGAAAAATTGTTTACAGATGGACAGATCTGATCAGTAGAGCTAAAAACAGGGCCTGTGTGACTCAGATGAGCATTATGGCCCATGGGCCTCTTGTTTCTATTCTTTTTGTTTTCTGTTTTTCTTTCCTTTTTTCTTTTCCTTTTCTTTTTGAAGTTCAGAGGTATCTATTTGTTCCTTATGTTGTTCTTCAAAATAAGACACCTTTGTCCTCCCTTACTCTCTGAGTAAAACTCACCAAAATTAAATACAGTACTGACAACAAAGTCCATTAATATGACTATTTTAATAGAACACATGTAAAAAGAAATGTATAGGCAAGTATGTAAATATATCTAGAATATAATACAATAGAAAAAAAGCTTTTGTCTTAATAAATAACAATGCTTATACATATTATTTATCTGAAGACACTTTTGTAGTGGTTTAATGAAGAGATGATAAACATCCTGAATTATCTAAACAATCCTTGTTCACTAACAATAAACTTTAATGTAAAACATTCCCTTTATAATCATCCCTACTACTGATCTCAAGTCCGTGTTATGTCTTTCTGCATGTTCAGCAAGCTTTGACATTATTATTATGCATTTTAGTTTCCTTGACCAAGGACTGTACGGAAGTTCTATCAAATCTTCCTACTGGACAAAGTTCAGTTTTCTTCCAGAGATAAAAAATAACAAGTAACAACCAATGGTTAAAACTACTATAGGAAAATAAGCTGAAAAATATAATTATATACACAGAGAAATTTTATAGGGGATTTATATTAAGTTCATATAATTATAGTCAACAATAAAGCTAATATTGAATGATATATAAGATAAAACTTAACACAACTTGAAAATCAATTACTCAAGAAATTCCACAGTAATCATCCAGCCACTTTCTACAAAAGTCCTACAGTCTTAAAACTATAATGGGGATTCTCATGATATGTACTTTATTTAAAAAGTCTAAAAAGAAAACTGTCTGAAAAATTAATTCACAAATCAATTTTTCCAACCTATGCAGTATTATATCTTAGTAGAAAAGTTGACATGCCTTGATAATCAGTAACCATGTATGGACAACATACATCTGAGTTAAAATGGGTACAATAAGTATTAAAAATGTAATGAAATATTTTTTTTAAACATTATTCATAAGTTTGATAAATACACATGTATGTAGTTACAGAGAGATAATTATAAAGAATCAACTCTGACGGAAAAAAAACTAGGACTGAAACAAAACAATTTTATGTTCAGTTCTCAATAAATCATTACCAGTACATGAAAAAATGAAAGTAATATATTGATTAATTTAATCAATCTAATAACACATAAACATTTAAAAATGACAAGGAAACACAAACACTGGCGACTAAGAATAAGTCCTCAGAATAACAAGATATTTAGGTTATTGCTAATTCTAGTAATTAGTCTGACCAATTTAGTAGCCCCCTTGTGAGACTAATGCAAGCAGTACCTTCCTGTAGTCACCAGATGTGTCATCCTGAAATAAAAAAAAAATCAAAGGTCTGAGATGACTCACAGGAACATCTACACACAGCATATTTAAAATTTTTATCCTGTTTTGATTTTGTTCATTCTTTCAGTGTTGTTATGATAAAATAATTGAATTTTTGGCTGTTACGCGTCATTCATTTAAAGAATAAAAAAAATATTTTATATCGTATAACCTGTGTTGCCTATGTCACAATGGCTTACGTCAAAAACGTATCAATCCGCTTGACATTACATTTAAAAAATTTACAATTTGAAGTCATTTTTGAAAAAGAAATTGTCTTACTTTCTACACCTACTGATGGAAAATTAAATTATAAGGAATGAATTTAATAGCTACCCAAGTTATACTGGTGTAACTTATGTTGGTACAGTTTATGCTTTTTTATAAACCACTTTGTGGTTTATAGAGATCTAAACTGCCCAAATTAACCCAGATTATACAGAATAACTTGGGTAGCTATTAAATTCATTCCTTAAATTACTTCATGTAAGTCCAAGTTTATAGCTGCTTACCTTCTTAAAGTTTATCATAATAAAAATAGGGTCTGTAATTCAGTTTATGCAAACCTGATCTTCAAAAATATCTCCTCAATTACATTATGTAATATATTACCTCTATTTTAAACTTCTCTTTAGATATCAAGTACAATTTATGTATTATGGTAAATTTTATGTAATAAAATTAGAAACCTCAGGCCTTATGTGCTCAAAGCACGAAGGGGACTAAGTAAAGTAAGTAATTAGAAACCTCGAATTTTGCTTCCTGCAATCTATTCAATAGAAGTCTCTGATGTAATTGTAGCTCTAATGTTCTGGACCTAAGTAATTTGGGTTTTTGATATTAATTCTCTTTGAAATTTTGATTCATATTATGAAAGTAATTCATTTTTTTTCCAATATGTTAAAAGAAGAAATAAGACAATAACAATTGCAGCATACAAGTATAATATGACACTTTGTTCTATATTTACAACATAATTAATGGCTATATGGCTTTATGGAATGCCATAGCTGCCTTATGTGGTTATTTCATGAGAAGATGGTGCTTTTTTATATTATGCTGTGGTTATTTCATATGAAGATGGTGCTTTTTTATGTTATGCTGTGGTTATTTCATGTGAAGATGGTGCTTTTTTATGTTATGCTGTGGTTATTTCATGTGAAGATGGTGCTTTATTATGTTATGCTGTGGTTATTTCATGTGAAGATGGTGCTTTATTATGTTATGCTGTGGTTATTTCATGTGAAGGTGTTTTTTCATGTGAAGGTGGTTTTTCGTGTGAAGGTGGTTTTTCATGTGAAGGTGGTTTTTCATGTGAAGGTGGTTTTTCATGTGAAGGTGGTATTTTATGTGAAGGTGGTTTTTTATGTTATGCTGTGGTTATTTCATGTGAAGGTGGTTTTTTTAATTCTATGTGAAGATGGTCACTCGGAACTCCTCATATTTTTAAAGACTGGGTTTAACAGCTATTATATCGAAATTTTGAAAGTAAAACAAATAATCTATGTAATTAAAATTATCTTAATACACCTTTGTTAGTTCCTCTTTTTTCTAGCATAATAAGTATATTTATAAGCGAACGAGATGAACTGTGTACGACTTGACCTCAACCAGACGTATTTACAACAAAATGGCGCAATCAAGTTTATCAACAAACACGATGAATGGAATATTGCAAGAATTAAAGCTAGGTAACTTAATCCCGAACTTTGAAACGGAGAAAATTGAAGTAACCAATTACTTGAGTTTAAGCGAAGAGCAGGTTATTCGATTAAGCGTAAATGCCTTAGGTGATAGGATTCGACTTGAAGAGAAAGTAAGGGAAAGTCAGAGGGAAAAATCTACTGATTTAGCTGATTTAATAAAGTCTCAAAGGGAGGTCCTTTTTATGGGTGGTAAAGGCAAAGGTAAAAGGTCAAGAAATACGAACAAGATATTCACATCCAATAAAAAGACGCGTGGAAAAGTTAATAGAAATTGGACTGTTACAGTTGTATGTTTACCAGACAAAGATACAAATACTATTCCAACTGCGTTGCAAAAGGAAATAAACTTCAAGGCAGGTCTGGGACCGAAAAAAATCTGCCTTTCACTCAATGACACTGAATCTGAGGTAATGGAAAAAATATCTTCAGATGCCATAGATGAAAAATCTGAGAATAAAAATATATGTTTAGGATTTCCTCAGTTACAGACTTGCCGAGGGTTCGAGCTTTAGTTGACTGTGAATGGAATGCAAGGACTTTGAAGACTTTTTTGGGAAATCAAGCAAAAATTTATGTAAGACCGATTCAAAGAAGCTTGTCAACAGATCCAGTAAATGAACATAACGAGCAGGAACACTCAAAAGTCAACTGTCATCACTGCAGGAAAATGTTTAGTGTTCGAGAACTTAGAGAACATTACGTGTGAAAGCCGGGCAAATCTAATTAGTGATAGTGAGGATGAATTACCTGACCCACACCTGACACAAGATTTTCCCAATAAAAAATGTGACTTTGAAGAAGTGCTAGATCAGAAAACTTTTCTTCGAGTTGAGGATTTTGTCAATGACATGAGTACAGATTGTCCTGAACAATTAAGACCTGGCCTTTTGACCATTCCTGAGGATACCAGTTCTGGTAATTTATCTGTTGATGGGAGTGCTGTTCAAACTGAATCAAAAGAGACAGTCATTGAAAATATCACCACTGCTGAAAATGATAGTGAAGGAACCACATCTGATACTTGTGGAGGACCCATGGACTTTGTCATAGCCAAAGCCATAGATTTTTGTATTTCCGAAAACATCCAGGACCCTGTAGAAATTCTGAGATATTTACAGTCTGTTATTGTTTGTGGCAGACAATTGGAAATCACAGACACAACACAATGTGATGAAGGAGAAACAAAGAACTATATACGGTAAGGGCGTATTCCTGCCCCCATAATAGTCAAATTTTGAAAATCTCTTGAAATGAGAAAAAGTGCATATATTGTATAAAATAATCCAAATTAAGACAATATATTATGAAATTGGAAAAATTAGTTGGCCTTTCTTGTCTCTGTTACGTCACAAACTATCTGGATTTCCGTTATTTTTAAAATAGAGGCCAAAATGCACAGAGTTTGTTCAATTTTGACTATAGTATTTATAGAGCACAAGCCTGCTCAGGTACCATATTCACATATTTCATCGATATTGTCATTCTACACATTATATCAAAAGATCTAGTCTGAGCAGACCTGCGCATGGTAATTTCCAATCAAAATACCGACGTAAAATACGCTATTTTCTCTCAAAATCATTGCAATTTGGAATTTACGTCATTTTATTGACGTCATATCTAACTAATGATGTCATAGTTGATAAAAATAATTAATGCTTTGAAGTCTGCATATATCCACCTGGTTTAGAACATAATTAAAGACTTCTCCATCAAAGTTTTATTTTGGGGGCAGATACTGGCCACTACAGAATATAGTCCTTTTATCATAAACTTGTAAACTTCATTTCAAAATATCTATTCTTACATGTATACATGCACTGTCCAATAATTTGAATACCAGGTATTGAGTTAAATTTAATTTATGTCTAAAACAGTAATTTAATTTTTTTTTGACATGTATAGTTTGTAACACTTTCAAGCAAAGTTGACAAATAAAAAAAAAAATCTGTTTTCCCCCTTTTTGCAGACAGCCATTGATCAAGGAGGCCCGAGAAAAGAGTTTTTCTCGCTGATTTTATCAGCAATAAAAGAAAAATATTTTGACAAAGGACTGCGGGATTATATGCATGCTGATTATACTGTTATTGGAAAAATCATTGGTGGGTATATAAAACATGATAAATGAATTATCAAAAAAAAAAAAAATAGTGATATCGAAATACATGTAATATTGCCTAAATTAGTACTTGAGATGTACACATTTTATAATGGATCACAAATTGAAAATACTGAATGGTATTGGTATTGATATTAAATGTGTAAAGATATTTCATTCTGTTTTTATCCCTCGTACTGTGAAACATAATGATTTTGGCTGTCTTTCTAATTTTGTCTGTATTTGAAAGAAAAATGATTAGAGATGTCATTTTTCACTATTAATCAGTGGTAAAAGTCAATGTCTTTCATACAAATTTTGTCCCTATCTCAATGAGATATATTGAACTGCTTAACATGTTATTTTTATTGATATTGATCAATTTTTTAAATGAAATTTTCCATGCACTAATTTGCCCATGTTTAGCCTGGTTACCATACATAAATGTGTCCATTAATTTAAACCTTGCTCTGACATACCCAAGTTTTGTATCTTGGTGTATTTTGGCTCTTGTGAAAATTCCTTTTTTCTAGGGGTGGGGGGTGGGGGGGGGGTGTTAAATAAAATGAACATATAAGTAAATTTACACCTGTTGTATTTTTAATCATGTGATGGCCATTAAAGCAAATATTCACACCTGTATAACAGATTAACTGTAAATGCATTTATTTTTTTAAATGCATATAAAGGCAGTTTCTGTGCTGATAGTAATACATGTATATACTAGCTATAGTGAGTTTTGGTATTTGATAGTCAGTGTATGTTGCTTGTTTAAAGTGTTGTTCATTGATTAACACCAACATTAATTAGATTAATATGATTGGGAAACAGGCATATGAGTTTTATATATTTATGTAAATTTCTTTATATTTCCAGGTTTAAGTATACTGCAGAATGGACCTGTGCCAAAATTTCTTGATGAAAACATTCTAAACAGGCTTTTTTTAAACAGTAATTCAGAAGACTTTGAATCAGCATGTGTTCACAATTTAAAGAAAGGTCTAGATTGTCTTGGTCTGATCAAGGTAAAAATGACAAATTGACTGGAATATGCTGACTACACTATCAGTTAAATCTCATATACGTTATACGTTAATTTTGTAAACAAAAAAAAATGTTTGGTAATTACATGTATATTTACACATGATATATTGTAGGTTGGCAGTGTTTTGCCAATGTTC